TTTCGATTTCGCCCATACCCCCCCATCCAAAAGTTGATCTTTTTCGTTTTTTTTTTGTGTGTGGGGGTGGGGCCGGGAATGCGCTGCCACGTGGCGTCTCCCCTTTTTTTAAAGTCGCTCCCACGCGGCCGCCACGTGGCTTCAAAGCTGGGCGTCCGCGCGGACACGTCCGCGGGGTCCGCGGACTGGCCGCGTCCGCGGATTCGGCCGCGGATGGCCGCCGCTGAGGGTGTTTCATAGATTCCCGCGCATCCTCGCATTAAAGCTTGGTCAAGTGGGCCATGATCTTCGAGTATTCCTTGATAAAACGTTGGTAGTAGCCGGCAAGGCCAAGGAACGAATGGACATCCGTGACGTTCCGCGGTTCCGACCACTCTTGGATGGCTTCAATCTTGTCCGATAGCGGATTGATGCCCTCCTGTGTGACAAAATAGCCCAAATATTCCAGCTCTTGGCGGACAAATCCGCACTTGTCGCGGATAGCCGTGTACTTGGCGCGGCTGAGCATCTTCAACACTCGTCGAAGGTGCTCAAGATGATTCTCCAATGACCAACTATAGGCGAGAATGTCGTTTAAGTAGACCAGCACGAACCGGTCCAACATCGCACGAAACTCGTTGGTCATTGCCTCTTGAAAGGTCATCGGGGTGTTGGTGAGGCCAAAAGGCATGACCAGTGACCACCCACTCAAAATGTTCATACCGTGTCTTGAACGCAGTTTGTAACGATCGTCCGGTCGGATCGAGATTTGATGATATCCCGACTTCAAATCCAACTTAGAAAAATACTTCGCGCCGCCCAATCGCTCGAGAAGATCGTCGATGCGAGGAAGAGACCCTGCATTCTTGACGGTTTGCGCGTTGAGCTTGCGGTAGTCGATGCATGATCGTAGATCCTTGTTCTTCTTCCGTACGAAGAGAACTGGTGCTCCATATGGGGAGCTACTAGGGCGGATCCAGCCCTTGTCCAACAAGTCATCGAGTTGCGTGCGAAGGACCGTAAGCTCCTCCTCAATCATGTGATAAATGCAACCTTTCGGCGGCACGGCACCGGCCTCAAGAATGATCTCGTGAGAGATTGGCCGATCCGGCACCACACCAGTAAGTGACTCGAAGATGTCGGCGAACTCGTCAAGCAGCCGCACCACACGGGGGTTCGAACACAAGTCCGTTGGTGAAGAATCGGGTACCGCGACGGTCCATAGGAAGCATAGGCCTATCTCGTCGGGCTGCTCGTAAGCGCAAGTAGCCCGAAACGGCTTGGCCGTTACCACTTGGCACCGAATTGAAGGGTGCAAAAGAGGAATAGTACATGGCACTTCGGCGCCGACGGCGTCGCGAACGGTAAAAGTCCACCAGTGGAAATTGACCGCACTTGCAAGCCAAGGCATTCCCAAAATAATGTCGAAGTCCGTGTCCAAAATGTCGAATGTTACCGGTTCGCATGCATGAGGTCCGAAATACACCGGTACGACCTCTATGTAGCGATCGATAAGTTGTTGCTTCTGTTCGCCAACTTGATCGTCGTCGGGTTTGCCTTCCTTCGAATTTGTGCGCCAAGGCCAGTCCCTTCGATAAAGGTTTGGCTCATGAAATTGCGAGTCGCTCCGCTATCCAGCAAAGCGCTGCAGGACGCTTGCCCAACTTGGATGCGGACATAGAGGGCCGGTGTGTTGTTGTCATCGTATCGCTGCTTGCGAAATTCGCGGGCCACCTTGGTAACATACGCAAGGATGTCCCCCACCACAGCTTCGTCATCCATCGGCGAAGAAGGTGGTGCATAGAAGGTTAGATACGTGTGAAGATGAGCGCATAATGTTGCACATTGCGGTCCCCACGAGCGGTCCGTGATCGGGGAGGAAGCCATGCGAAATCCTCTGACGTGAGCGGATCCAAGACCTCCATGTTGAACTCGCTCACCAAATCCCGTGAAGAACCACTTGAAGGCGATAAGTCGCCGCTGCCGAACGGATAAGATGCCGCTCACACGTCTTGTCCTTGAGCTTGAGTACCCGTTGTAGGAACGAGCTGGGCAATAAAGAAGAGGAGCTCAGGACTATCGACTTTCGCATGTGCCTCGGAACGAAGGGCGGTCACCCGCGAAGTGCCCGGTTTCGAAGGCGTCGAGAGTGTCGTCGATTTACTCCCAGCGTTACTCAGTTTCCCGATTTGGCTTTGCCTTTTGACGGGCAGCCCATTGTCTCGTGTATATCACTGTTACACCACAGACAATAACGAAATCTCGTGCGTGCCTTGTATGCTTGCTCGGAGAGACCGTAGTGGGACCATGAGGCTGGAGTTGTTGCGTGGGCTCGAGACGAGATGCGGTGTTTGTCTTCGTCTTGCCGCGTCCTCGCGACTCCTCGGCCTTTGCAAGAGCGGCCACCATCTTGGGCGACTGCGAGTCTATCTTCTTTTTGTGTAACCATTCTACATAATATATATTGTTTTCAGATTTGTTGGTGAACTTTTTGTGTTTTCTTTAATATTTTTGTGTTCGCTTTCGGAAGGTTTTGCTCGTTCGTGTTCGGTTGCGAACGTTCGGGTTCGGTCACCGAACATGAACATGATGCTACACAGGCATATATATTAAACCGAAACACATAAAACCCTTTCTTTTCTTAAGGGCATCATTCCAATTGCTTAGGTTCGGGCGTTCAGTCCGTCCCGAACGCCGGTTACCCTGTGTGTGTATATATATATATATATATGTTCTGACAGACCTACCTAGTAAACTGTAGGCAGAGATGGAGAAGAGGATAACAAATAAGGGGTTGTGACAAAAGTTTTCGTCAAAGTTTCAATGACTCATCATGATATATATATATATATATATATACAGGGTTACCAAACCGTACGTACAGAGGCCCCCGAGCGGACCTCCGTACGTTCAGGCGTTCGGGGTCCCGTACGGGGCCCGAACCCGATGGCGTTCGGCCCCCGCCAAAAATTATTTCGGGGCCTAAAAATACTTTTTCCTTCTGAAGTTTGTTTTACGGGTTCTCTATGACGTGCGGTACATGCCTATAAATTTTCAAGTGATTTTAGCCAAAAATGAATTAAAAATCGCCAAAGATGGCAGTGTCAAAACGTGCTCGCCCACGTTGTTTTTCACTTTTTACTTTTTGTTTTCACTTTAGTTCGGGGTCTCAACAATTTTTTTTTTTTTTTTAACTTTTTTAGTGAATTTTGTATTATGTGAAGTACACATCTGTGAATTTTAAGGGCATTTAGCGATGCCAAAAAAAAATGACAAATCGCCAAAGATGGCGCTGTCGAAAACATGCTTGCGCACTCACTAAATTTAATTCTCTTTTTATTTTTATTTATTTTTATTATTAGTATTTGTTCTGTGTATTTTATTTTTATTTCAAATTTGGTAAGGAATTCGGACGTAATGCTCAGGCAAATCTTGTTTAATTTAATTTTCTCCATAACATATCTTTTTTTTCAGATTTTTTTGATGACGTTTTTTTTGTTTTTGTTTTTTTTTTGGGTCCTCGTTCGGCCCGAACGGCCGAACGCATCCCCAAGGGGTCCCATACGTTCGGGCGTGCGGCCCGTCCCGAACGCCGGTTACCTTGTATATATATATATATATCGTCACAAACAGAATATATATATATATATATATATATATATATTCTGTTTGTGACGATATATATATATATATATTCTGTTTGTGACGATATATATATATATATATATCGATAGATCTATAACTTCTTGTTTTTTTTTGTTTTTTTTTTTTCGATCAATAGATTTTTTAGCTGAATTCAGTCACATCACGGTTGGCCCCTCCTTGGTAGCTTCAACACCTACGTCACCGAATGTACACGTACGGGGTCTTTCCGTACGAAACGTACAGGTAATATCTGTACGAAAAACCGAAAAATTTATTGATAAAAAAAAAAGTCATCAAAAAAATCCGAAAGTTGCCCCAGCACAAAACAACCAACATTTGGATGAGCGTTATCTACAGAATCTTATTAAAATTTGAGTTAAAAAAAAAGAAGTCGTACGGGCCCCTAGCGTACGAGAAGCGTATGATTACATAAGATTTTGTATTCGTACGAGGGTATGTACAAGTCCAAACAAAGGTCGACACATCCCCTATCTTTTCTTTACCTAGAGTAAAATGATTATGATGATTAAGGTTCGAGTGACATTTATGGGAAGTTCAGAATCTGACTAGTTCTTTGACCGAAATGATTACAGTAGGAGCGAGTTTTTCAACCATATGGAGAGGAGGAAGCCACCAAGATGATTAATTCGATGAAATCTCGACTGCTTCCTATTGTTTTTTATACTCTAACGGGTAGCTCGTTCTTTTTAACGACGCCTTTGAGTTGATCGTTTATCACTATATTTCGGTCTATCATGATCACCACGTAGGCATTTGATTTTTTTTTGCGGTGATTACCTTACCTAGTGTTTGGTGATTGAGTTATAGAAAGAAGTTATTTTAAATTTATGCTATTGTAAATCATTACCAATTGCCTTCTTTTTTTTTTTTTTTTTTTTTTTTTTTTTTAAACAAACGCACCCATCAGTGTCAGCAGTGCTGGTACGAGCAGACACCGCTAGTATCTGGGAAGGGTTCCATCTATTCGTGGGGAGCAACACCTGCTAGAAACCGGGTCTTACATAGACAAAATTCAAATCACATCATATCTTCATCAGAAGAGTGTAACCCGATCCTGCCAATTGCCTAATTATCGTATCTAGTGGATTTATATGCTAGTCATCAAATCTTTGTAAGTCCTTTAATTACTCATAAACCTTAAATTTTGCAATATATTATGTGGATTTATAAGTATTTTTGTAATTATAAAACTTTAAATAATATTTTTATATTTTGAAAAAATATTACTTCAAATTTTTAAAACGTAAAATATTATATTAAGTTTTATAAAAATAGATATTATATTAATTTTTATTTTATATACATATATAATGACATATTTATACATAGATCACAAAAAGATCGAGGTATGCCTACTAGGATGTATTGAGTGTCAAAGATACAGGACATCGGAGCGACCAATATCATGCGATTCATACGGGGGAACACATGCCCATTAGGTAATACCAACGAGATTCAATCAAATGATACAGGCAATATTTTTTTTCTTTATATCACTCTATAAGGTGGTCATCTCGATCAAAGATTCAAGACAAAAAAATTCAAATAAAACAGGATTTCCTCCCCCTTCGCGATAAAAAAAAGTGGTATTAAAACTTCTATCAGTAGCATCATAATAGCACCTACTAATACAAGAAGTGACAATAAAGCAAAAAATTTGAAAAAAAATATAATTAACATAGACCAAACAAATAGAGGTAATTTATGCATTGTCATTCCTGGGCCACATCATGACTTGCGTTTAACTAATTTGAGCTTATTTATCTTTATGAAACCTAACTGTAAATTATCTTTAGAATGTTGTGTTTCCTATAATATTTGTTGGAACTTTTATCCTTGTGAAACCTAACTCTAAATTAGTCTATATCATGCATAGACTACCTCTATTTGTTTGGTCTCTGTTTATTACAATGTGTTTTGCTTTAATTGTCACTTGAGTCACTTCCTGTATTAGTACGTGTTATTATTGTGCTATTAAGTTAGTATTGACTAATATGAATTTTAATACCACTTTCTTTTTATCCTACAGGATGATAGATCCTGTTTTATTTCAATATCACTTTTGGTTCTTTGGTCGGGATGACCACCATTATTTTACTTCAACATCAGAGTGACTAATATCATGCGATTTATACGGGGGAGCCTACCAATCCCCTCGAGCGGCAACTGTCCAGGCCGTGATCGTGGTTGTCGGCCATGACCACGTGACGGTCGGTGGGAGACGGGTCTGGTGGTGGGGGTTGGGGATTGGGGTGGCGCAACCTCATCCGTACCTCTAGGGTAAGTCAAACTCGGATTTGTTTTTTTTTTTTTTTTTGATCTGGATGGCCCGAGGGAGGGAGTAAAAGCAAAATAACACAAAATACCTATTTGAAATAGAATTCAAACCAAACCAAAATTGCTTGCTTGCTTGCTTGCTTGATTGATTAATTCATTTAATAATTGATTGATTGATTGGTTGATTGATTGATTGATTGATTGGTTGATTGGTTGATTGATTGATTGATTGATTGATTGATTGATTGGTTGATTGATTGATTGATTGATTGATTGATTGATTAATTCATTCATTCATTCATTGGTTAGTTTAAAGGTTTAAGGGGAAAAAAAGGTGTGCATCAGTGCACGCACGCATGCATGTGTGTGTGTGTATGTGTATGTGTGTGGGTGTGGGTGTGGGTGGGTGACTGCGTGTGTGTGTGTGTGTGCGTGTGTATGCGTGTGTGTTCCTGCATGTGCATTTGTGTGTTTGTGTGTAGTATATGTGTGTGTGTGTGCGAGGGGGGTGGGCGAACCCTC